AATTTTTATGTGTTTGAACAGATGAAAAATTGATTTATTTTTTTTTTACATAAGAAAGAGGTTGAATTGTATTCATAATTTTTTTTTCTCTGTTTCCTGTATGGAAGCAATGAAAATGCCCAAGCAGAGGAAGAGTAATCTCCTATGGTATGAATTTTATTTTTCTATTTGAAAAAGGTGACATTTGTCCTATCTGAAGCTTTACTATGTACTAAAATATTGACAGGTTAGTGAATTTAGATCACTAGATTTCCTCAGAACTGTTCTGCTTTATGCTTGGTTTATAACAAACCTGTTTTTAAGACACTTTGGATCTTGTTAGGAGTACAAAGTCTGCTTGGTCAGTTATTGCCATTCCTGTGCTAAATGTCAAACCTAAGCCTCTCTAGAGACTCTGTAGAGACTACTGCCTGGGCAAGTGTGTAGGAAAAGAGTCTATTCTCAGTCTTTCTGATGACAGTTCCTCTCAAGTAAGGTATTTATCATGATGGAGAAAGGAGTTCAGAATCTGCACCTACATTTAATAAGCTTAGCACCTACAGTAACTGTTTTGAAGAACAGAAAGGCAGTGAAAGCTTGCTGAGTGAAAACTATTTAAGAAAATAGTCATTAATGGCAGAATGCTATGAAGCAAAATAAATACTGTAATCTAAGTTCCAGTTATAGGCTGTGCACTTCAGTTGTGCATTTTGGGGACTAGTGTTTTCTGTCAGCCACTGGGAGAAAAAAATAAGGAACTTATCAAGACAGAGATTGAGAAAGTCAAGATGAGGTATACTACAAAAGACACCACCAGCCATTTGGTAAATAAATCACATAGCTGTAGTACAATAACTTAGAACTTCAGATGCTGCAGTGCAAGTTGGCATCTCACATGAGAAATGTTTAAAGCACCTGTAACTCAATGTAACTGTTAAATTCCTGGCAGAATCCCTTAAAGAGCATTTAGCTACAAGAAGAGCTGGACCCAGCCCTGCCTGAAATTGGCAGGTCTCTTTCCATTAACTATCTGAATTTGTCCCATAAAGAGAAAAGACATTTATTTGACCTTCCTCAGTGCTAATTTGGTGTCTTCATAAGAGCACACTCAAGAGTACTTGTCTGGGGAATACAGTTCATATTCTATGGCTGCATGGTATAATTTAGTTGTGTATTGGCTCCTCCCACTAGAGCAGACAGTAGGAATTTTTTGTCATAGCTGTTTTCTGTCCTCCTCATAGAGCCCCATTCCTGCCATTTCCAGAGGTCTTCTGCCACTATTTAATATTTTGTAGGCAAGCACAGCAGAGTTGGTGTGTGCTGCTGCCCTGCTTAACCTCTCCTTGCTAAAATGGCCTTTTAAAATAAACAACTGTATAAACGATTTGCTTTGCCAAGAGGATAAATTCAATGGAAAGTTTGGCAGAGGAAGCAGAACTGGCACTGAGTTTGTGGACCTGTTATGTCATGGAGCTTGGGGGCCCTTATGATGCAGAAATGAATTTTTTAATGAAGAAATATATACCATTCTGTGTTACAGTGGAAAACCTGCTGAAACACAGTTTTCCAATTTGCTTTTGCCCATGCCGTCTGTCCCCAAATGACTTCAGGAGTAAGCAAGTTTCACCCCTTGTTCCACAATATTAGAGAACATCACAAAATTCTGGGAAGCATTTTTCATGCATGAGGACTTAGCTACAGATTTCACAACTGTGCGTGAGAGCTGGTGTTGTTTGGCAGGGAATCTGTCCATGGAGTAGTCAAGCAATCTGTCCACAGTGACACAAATCCCGTGACAGTGAGCAGAAGAGAGGGCTGGGATCCAGAGCAGCTTGGTCTGTGCCACTCTGCCTCTTAATGCCCTGAGTGAGGCAGGCAGTGTGTTTTTAGTCACTGTGGGCAGGTAGAACCCTGGGTTTTGTAACAGCATTGTGGAAGCTGTCTGCAGCAGCTCACTGCCCCTCATCCCAGCACCGGTGCTTTGGAAAAGCACATGTGGTCGCAGAACCAGAATTACAGAGAAGTAGAAGTAATAAAGCCAGAGGGGTCTGTTGTAGTTTGAACAGTGAAAAGACAGCATGTCTCTCTTTACAGTAGTGCATTACATTAGTGCAGTGCCCTACAGATGTGAACAACTGTCTATTTGCCATTTGCTATATCAGATTAGTGGGGTGACATTTTCTGTTCTGTAACAAATGGAGAACACAAGACTCAAAAAGGAAGTATGAGTTCCCAAGCCACATCATGGGCAGAGCTGGCAGCAGAAGCTGGATCTCCTGACTTGCCTTCTGCCTCTGCTAAGCCAGCTTTTTTTCCAGAGAGGATAGAGAAAGAAAAAGAATGTTTATTTCCGTGAACTCCAGATTTTTCCTTTTGTAGTTATTTTAGGTCATCCAGCTCACAGGTTTTTTTTGCTTTTCATCTTCCACTGCTTTACAGTAAGTGATTGTGACCACCTAAGCTCTGTGTTACAGGGCAACAAAGACAGGCTGTTCTCTGCTTCCTTTTGCTGCTGCTTAGAACCCGCAACACTCTGTACTCGTGTGTCTGAAGGGCTCCCAGGCTGCTGAGTCTTTCCAGCCCAGCAGCACTGTTCCTCCTCGGAGTGGCACTGGGGAGGCAGTGGCAAAAGCCCCTCTTGCCAGTGTGGCAGGAACTAGCTGGTGCTAGCAGTTGGGTGAAAGGCCTCGTGCAGAACATTTGCAGACAACACCACCCTCTAAAGGAGATTTCCATGTATGTAGGATCCAAGAGCCCAAGGCAAGGAACCCCCCTGCCTTTTCAACCTCCAGCTTCCTTAAGTGACTAGGAAACCCCTGTGGACATTCATGGACTCAACCAGCTCATTTTTGTGTGCCCCCTCGCTCACCTTTGCTGAGCACAGGAGGAACATGGGGTGGAGGCAGTGCATTGCAAGGTGCAAGAGTCTGTGGGCTGCCCCTGACTTCAGGCTTTGCTGCAGTTGGACAAACTTTCCTTCTACCTTGCAGCTCTGGTCACTGCTCTTAATTTATGCTTTACTTTCAGTTTTCACAGGAGTTAATGACAAATTAAGTGGGAAGAGATTCCAGGTAGTACATCCAATGTGAGCAATGAGCTTCAGGTGCTCTGTGTGTTCAAGCAGTGGTGGCAATCCTGTGCTGAAGTCTTTACCTGGCATTTCCCTGCTTCCCTGGCTGATTGTCACACTGGAGCAAGCAAGACAAGAAAATAGAGCATGTTGAGGTGCTTTATCTCCCTCTGTAGTATTAACAGCCTGTATTGTCTCTGACAAAGCGCTGGTGCTGGTTCAGTGTGGATTATGGTAGACTGCTGCACTCTCAAAGAACCTGTGTGTATATTATATGCAGAAAAAGTTACAGAGAGGGGTGGGGAGAGGGTGTAGGTGTGCATACTTATGTGTAGGTCTTCAGAGGCTTCAGAGAAAAGGAGTTGAACAAAGAAGTAATCTGTTGCTGTTTCTGTGTAGTGTTTCCTTCAACTCCTGCCATGTTTGGTAGCTCAAAGCAAACTTGTATTTTTCGAACACTTTTTTTCCAAGATTCTTTGGGTTTCTTTGTTTCTGGCTGAGAACCCTTTTTAAAGAAAGGAAAGAGAATCTATTGCTTCAAACTGCCTTGTGGACCTGGCAGTGATAGCAGGAGAGGACTGCTGAGGGGAGACGCTAAATCTCTCAGGCTGTGCCAGAAGGAAGTTGCTTTCCTTGGAGATTTCTTCCTCCTGCAGTTGAGTGGGAGACATTGTTTATGCTTTACCTGGTACAGGGCCAGAAGGGTTTTTAAGACCTGCTTCCAAAAGCATTTTGTGCTGGGATCAGAGCCTGAACTGTTCTTACTGTCTTTTCCATTCTGCAAAAGCACCCACATAAGAAAGGGGAAACTGGGGCTGTATTATTATGAGCTAAATACATGCATGAGAAAGCTTGAAGACAGTGCATAGCCTGGGTTTGGTAAATATTGAGGTTTGTAAGGACAGTCTGCTGCTCTGTGGTTTTGTGCTAAAGTCCAAGCAGGGAATGCTAGGGAAGCTGTGCATCAGGGCACAAGTACTCTCAGCAGTGTGTTCCTGAGCCTACCTGTGCAGCACAGAGGTGTGTGAGGGAGGGTGGCTGGGAAATCAATGTGTCCTTACATAGCACTTAGTGTACATGTGTACATGGTGTTGACAGACTATATGTGCTTGCATTTGAGTGCATTTTGGTGAACAATGCTTGGGAGTGTGAGAATGCAAAGGCGAGAGTACAACTACTGCAGGACTGATGTCCAAGGGCCAGGGATTACTGTGAATTTACCATATCCCCATGAGGCCTGCCCTGTGACTGAAGTCCTGCCAGTTGGCTGCCTCCATATGTGTCCTGCAGCCTCAACATTTGCCTTTTACAATAAAAACCACTTGTGATGTATTCACTCTCTTTTAAGTCTGCCCAGGAGCTCTGGCTGCTTTCCTTGTCCTTCTCTCATGCCTTGTCTGTCTATAGTCTCCTCTCTCCCAGGCAACACCCTGACTCAGAGGACTCCAGAAAGATGGATGACATGAAGGAGGAGGTTTCTGAGAGGACAGACTGTAGCTTTATTGCAAAAAGTTTTACCTCCAGGCATTTTAAAAGTGGATTTGAAGGGGAGAGTGTGGACTGAAACTACTTGTTTCCCCAGCTAGCTTACTGTTTTCCTTGCCCTGGCTGTCCTGCAGCTGACATGTGGCCACAGTGTCATTCTCTGAAATTACTGTACTGCCCTCAGGAACTAAATATCATTTTTTGCATCAGTGGACAGTTAGTGCTCTCCAGTACTATTGCTGTCTGTTGCCCAAAGGATATCCAGGAGAACAGACTCTTCAGGAATAGAGGCACCTGCCTTAAGGAGAAGCACTTCTGTTGCTGGCAGTCGCTTCTACTCTTTTTCTAGCCACGTGAATGCTCAGAGGGTATTGAATTACATGGTGTGGTTACTCATAAGCGATCCTTGCTGTCTTTACCAAATTGCCTACCTAATTATGCCTTGTGTTTTCTGCTCCCTTGACAGTATGCCAAGGCACTGAAGCATTTTGGAGAGATGGAGGGCAAGATGCAGCCAGATGAATTTTTTGGCATCTTTGACACTTTCTTACAGTCATTTGCAGAGGCCAAGCAAGATCTGGAGAATATGAGGAAGAAAAAGGAAGAGGAGGAGCGCAGGGCACGCATGGAGGCCATGGTGAGGATCTGGGCACAAGATGTTTCCTTCCCTTACCTTACCTTTTCATGTCTTGAGAGAAAGTCCAATGCTCACATCCTGTCACTGTTTTATGTTCTTCTCCCTGATACTTCTCTTTGGCATCATCCTGTTCTCATATGATGACATTTTCCCTGCTGTCTTGTCAGCTCACTAGGATGTACTGTTTTACTCCCAAATTACCCTCTTTTGGATTCAGATACCAAATCTAGCCTAGGCATTTTTGCCCTGGCACTTTGCAGGATGGGGTTGCCACCACCCCATGCCAAACTATCCTGCTTTTGGGCTGCAAGCAAAGAAGCAAGATTTACCTCAGTCCTGCCAAGCTGCTCAGCTTCCAGTCAGACTCCATCATCACCTGCTGTGTGCCTGTCATCTAACAGTGCACAGTGACATAGTAAATGCCCTGGCACCTGCTGCAGCCCACACAGCGGCAGTATTTCTCTCTGACCATCCTTAATGCCTTGATTACTGGGACCGTGTCTGGCCTTGACATGGCAGGAGACCTTTCTGTGGGTTTTGCTAGGAGACAGACATGTGGGTCCCATGGGGCTCCTGTGAACCAGCCTCCTCCTCTAACTTCAGCCTCTGTGCTGCCTGAGAATTCAGCAGTCCCTTGCCCCCTTGCCCCCTGCTGGTGCCTTAGCCCTGGCTGCTGCCATGACCCCAGGCCATGCTGCGAAGAGTTGCTGATTTAAATATTTGCTGAGCCAGAAGCAGAGGGTTTTGCCTTTCAGAAGAGGTGAGAGGTAAAGCACCAGGATGCCAGCAGCCATACTGTTAGACACAAGGATAAAATGCCAGGATATAGGCTCAAGTATCCTCTCAGCCAGCCTGGAAAGTTCAGGGCCCACTGTTAAAGCACTGTAGGATGGTTTCATAGGCCTAATACACCATGAGGGAGACCTTATGGAAAGAGACTTCCTGCAATGCGGCGCTAGCATTTGCAGAGCGAGCAACATGCTTCCTGATAGCTACCATTATTCCTTGCCAGTTCTACTGATTCTGGAGCTGAGCAATGGAAAGAGAGAGCTGAGCTGGCACTACCCTGCTGTAAAATTAATGCACAACAGCAGCAGCATGGACAGATCCCATGTGTCCTCTTGCTGCAGACCAATTGTGCTTTGTGAGGCAGACGTGCTCTGCTACTCATTCCTCATTCCTCCTGCTTTCTTCTCGCCTGTTAGAAGAGAAGCCCAGCATGGCCTCTTGCTGGTTTTAGCACAGTTGATGGCCTTGTGGATAAGCTCCTACTCATTTTTTCCCTAATCTGTGCTGATGCATTTTAGCTGCTTCTTTACAGTCTACCTGGTGATCTGGCATCTTGGTTAGCAAATCCTAAAACTCTGTGTCCTTCTCCACAGCTAAAAGAACAGAGGGAAAAAGAGAGGCGACAAAAAAAAGCAAAAGCTGGAAGCATCTCTGAAGAGAGTGGGGAGTTTGATGACCTGGTGTCAGCACTGAGGTCAGGTGAAGTCTTTGACAAAGACTTATCCAAGCTCAAGCGTAACCGCAAGCGTTCAGGGAACCAAGGCTTAGAGACAAGCCGTGAGCGGGTAGTGACAAAGCTAAATTATTAATTACAAGAGGAAGAAAAATAATCAACCAAAAGAAGGTGATGAAAAAGTGCAAAAGAAGGAAGATGAATGTGTGTGATGGCACCTAGCTGACAGCTGCTCCAAAGGTTTTATCTGGTCTGTTAGCTAGAGACATTACCTTTCCATGATCAGCTTTCCTCTCATCCCTCTTCTGTGCTCCTAATTTGAACCATTATAAAAGTGCCTCTGTGGATCCAGCAGGGCCTGTGACTGGGCCACACTGAGCTGTAGATTTGCTTCTGGGAGTTTGTTGTGTCATCAGAGGCTTCATGGTGATGACACAAAGTACATGGACCTTGTAGACGGCCTCACGGCTGGAACAAGATAATTTTCTGTGTGCGAAAATGAAAACCAGTCATGATCTCCATCTTGCTGATAACAAGGAAGACTAATTTCAGACCAACTCTGTAAACAGCTATCACTTCTTCAGCATCTAGACTGGTCTTCAACAGTTTGTTGGGATGTGGTTCTCAAGTTTCCAGTTCCCATCAAGAATTAGATTTTATAAGCTATTGTTTAGCACCTGAAAAATGCATTTAAGCTCATGTCCTGTATAGTATTTTTGTGTGGCCTACACTGTCCAAAGCAAGCAAAGCTTAGAAAGAAGTCTTCAGTTTCTGTAACAAAAGGAAATTCAAGAATAAGGATCAACATACAATAATTTGCAAAAGTCTTTTGGATTCTGTGTTGCTAGAAGAAGTTTTCTGGAATTTCTTGGTGGTTGAGTCTCAAAGCTATTAAATGCATCTTCCTGGAAAGAAACTCAATTTCCTTTAGAAAACTAAGCCACTGCCAGGTTGGGATTACAAGTAGATAACCGGTAGAACCTGTTGTCATTGCTGGAGGCTAGCAGAGAATCAGTGGAAAATTTCTTACCTGTTTGTGAAAGATTGGAAATTGGGAGCTCCCTAGTATAATCCACAGTTCTTGAGTAGCAAACAGCAAACACATTCACTGCCTGCCAGAAGTGATATTCTTTTTCCACTTGATGCTAGCTGTGATTGCTGCTGGCATGAACTGGTCTCTCTGTCTAACAGCCTGGCCTCCACTGCACACCCCACTCCTGCTGAACCACGTCACTCAGTAAGATATGAATGGTGTCAAAAGAGAGCCTTGGAGCATGCTGACTTTTTCATTTTGAAGAAATCACTCGTGATGAACCAAGGGAGAGCCCCATAATCAAAACTGAGAGTTTTTTGAGGAGGACACAGAATTGTGTGAACCAAGCAGGCTTTAGAGTTGGGTTAATTCAGAAGAAACAAATAAATTTGTAGTTAAATTACATTAATTAAATACATAAGTAGAAAAGCAAATAACCCAAGAAGAAACTTGAATTCTTTGTGTCTTCATAGTTCTAGGAAAGGGATTGGATTGAGTGGGCTGTCATGGACATTTTTTTTGCCTTTTTTTTTATCCAACTTGTCTTTTTTTATTACCTTCCCTGGAGAAGGAAAAGAGGAAGAGAAAGAATGGTGATGGATTCTTCCTCCTAGACAGGAAGAAAAGAGAGAACACTTATGAAGAGGGACCCACCATTTTCAAATTGCGGCATTAGTCAGCACAAAATGTCAAGGAATCTGAGGGAAGTCAGTTTAATCATTTGGTTTGATTTTTCTCTGGATGTCACTTAACCTCAGGCTCTGCACTGAGTCTGCAGAATAGAACTTCCTCTGCAATGCACACTGCCTGATCAGTATTACACACTACAATATTGGAGAAGCAAATTGTGGTGGTTTTCTGAACACTTTGAGAATTAAATAATTATGTCAGCTATGGAGAGAAGCAAAAAAAGTCAGATTTGTTAAACTCTGATGTTTCATTGTTTACTGAATTTTGAGTCTCCCACCCCAGAATTTCCCCATTTAGGATATTCCAGACTGCCACGCCTCTGTATAATATGCATCGTAAAGAGCTGGTATCTTACAAGAGCTGGGTGCATTCTCCTTCCTTACTATCCCACTCCCCTTCTGGGATTACTTATTAACAGCAATGCCTATTGCAGTGTTCACAAGCACCTTGTAGAAGAAATACTAGTTCATAACAGTTTTTTAAAGTTTTAGAAAAAATCTCACTTTTTAAAGCATTTTTATTTTTAATTACAAATGGATTTTTAGAAATGTCTCTTGTAAATTATATTAACAAGCTCCTTGCTGCTCCCTGAAGTAGACTTGCTATATATCCCAGCCCTTTTGTTTGTCTTGTTTTGAAGCATGCTTTGTAACCTATGCCATGTAAGCCATATGAGAGGTGGTAATATGTGCCAAATTGGTATACAGTTGAGTTTAGATTTGAATAATCCCTGAATTCCAAAGATTATGATCTTAGGGATTGGAACATTGTAGGGTTTCTTCCCTCCCTCTTTGTTCTACCTGGGTTTTGGACTCACACAGAATTTCACATGTAGTGCCAAGATCAGTCCTGGTGCAAGATGATGTGCAACTACAGCTGCCTCCTTGCTCCCCAGGTACTTGTTGATAAGGCAGACTGTCAGTACGGCAACTGCCAGAGAAGAAACACCTCAGGGAAAACGCTTTGAATAGAAATACAGTATTTCCCCTGCCCTGGTATTTGTAAAACCATGTTTGTGCTGTGCTTTCTTAAACTGAAGTCACTTTGCCAGGCCACAAATGTAGCAAAAGCAGAGTGATAAATCCTCTGTCCCTTTGTGTACACAGTTCAGACCTGATTTAAAGAGGTCCCGTATGATGGTATGCAATAACACTTCTGCCACACTGAGAGTCAAAGAAAGCTGCTATAGTTTTGCCACCTCTTTAACTCATACATTAATAATGAGAGATTGTGCAACTCCTGTAAATCAGCTATGGGATCCTTAAAGGGATGGACAGAAAGCTCAGAGTCATGCCCTGATTTAATGCAGCTTGATTTTCTCAGCATTCCAGCGCCCCAGGCTTCCCCTGTTTTGAATCAGCAGTGGTGGCCAAAAAACTTCCTTCAGTGTGCTGGACAGTCCCTCAGGTTCTTTACTCCATGGTGAAAGTTCAGACAGAAGGTTCTGGAAAAGCTCAGTTGGGCTCACTGAGGCAAGCAGTGTTTTTATACAAGTAATGACAAGCAGAAAGGCCCATTAAATTATCTACAGTATGAGATGAGGTTACCCACACAGAAGATAAGGAAAAAATTTGCTCTGCTGTAGGGCCTGGCATCAGATTCTTGCTCAAGTCAAGTTTGTCCATGTTTCTCATCTCTTGGGTACTGTGAGTACATATAATACTCTCTTCTTCAGCAGTTGTGGTTGAGTTGCCAGGTGCTGAAGGAGAATGGAAAATCTTATTCCTCTGTAGGTTTACGAAGCAGTCTGATGTCTAACATCACTGGAGAAGAGCTAAGGTCTGCTGTTGTCCTTGTACCTGTGCCTAGAACCAGCATTTTAATAGAAGTCACTCTGTTGTTGGAAATAAGTGGAAAAGGAGATGTGAGAAAGAAAGGCATAATTGAGGGCTTGTTCTGCTTCCTGCAGAAATATAGTAATTACTGACTTCATGATGAAGTTCCTCACACCTAGAAGAGTTACTTTCTAACTCTTCAGAATTTGTCTCTAGAGGTCTAGTGCTCACTCATCTTTGTGTTTCTGCACTGTTGCTGCATAGTTTGCATTAGGATGGTCCCAGAAAAGACTGAAGAAGACTCCCTCCCCCTTCCACTTGCTTTGAACTGAGTCACTCAGTCTGTTGTGGCTCTAGAAATGCTACAAGGTAAAGTGACTTCAAGGAGCAAGACCATTCCATGCTCTGTAGCACAACCATTGTCCAGGCACTAGTTCCCTATGAGAGCAGAGGTAGAACTAATGTTCTGAGCTGAGAGACTTCCTCACTAGGGAATCAATTGGATGTCCTTCAGAAGCATTTCTGTAATGTGTTCACAATGTCTGAGGAAGGAAAAGTAATTGCAAAGGATCCTGGTGGGAGGCTGTGGGACAGGTGTTTCCATAATGATCAGCCCCACTGGCTAAATCATTCCTTTTCTTTAGGAAAGATCATATTTTGAGCTGGGTTGCATGGGAGAAACTTGTGTCAGGAGTTTCTGTGAGGGGACAGATCTGTTGTACAGTAGATGATGTACATGATATATGCAGTTTTGTTTCTAGGTTGGTTGTTTTGGGTTTTGTCTGGTTTTTGGGGGGGTTAAATGATGTTTTTAAAAAACAGTTTAAGGAATCTCTACGGGGAACCTGTAAATCTGACACCTCTATTTATTTTGCCATATTTTAGTTTGCTATGTTTGTATGTATACACTGCATTACAGCAAAGACTATTGAGACTGTGCCAGGGCATTACACCAGCTAGAGAGCTGGCTTGGCTCCTGTGCCAGCTGAGTCAGGCCAGGGGATGCAGGTGAGCAGTCTTGGTGTGGGAAAGGAGGGAAGAAAAAAAACCTTTTGTTGTAATTAGTCTGCCCCTGGTGATCCTGGTTCTGGGAAAGCACTCATTTTAAAGCTTGTGGTGAACTGATGAAGGCTGGTTATTTTAGAACACTTTCTACAAAAGATGTTTGTTTTTTATCATGCGTCATGGTGAGAAGATTGAAAAGGGTTAAGTTGCTCGCTCAAATTTCACCCTTCCACACAAATTCGGTCCATAATTCCAGAGAAGCTTGGCTAGATGACCAAAAGTGGTTCGTGCCCTGTAACTTCTCACCAGATTTAACACACTAGGGAGACAAACTGGGGCAGTTCTCCTTCCTCAGAGCAAATATTCCTCCCTGTCTTCATGGCCAAAGAAAGATTTCATCTATTTTACCACTTTCCTCCTACAGCCCACCTCCCCAGGTTACCCCAGGTAAGCAAAATCTTTCTACTGGTTGATTTATTACTCATAGAGTCTCTGGCAATCACAAAGTGTTTGGCCATGGCTCCTCAGCTTCTGTACTTGACACAAGAGATTTCTGATTGCCTGTCATCCAAACAGGTAGTCTCTGTTGGCCATTCTAGTTTCTCTTATAGAGGTAGAACCTGGATAATACCATTTGGCCAACTAAAAATATAGAATTCATATATTTATTTATATAATGTATAGAAAAAGCTATCTGCTAATCTAAGTAGTAGTTCTGGTGAAGAGCACTCACTGAAGTTGGCCAGATTTGCTCACTGTTCCTGCTGAGAAGGATGCCATGAGTCTAGCATCGTGTTCTGACACCTCATTTCATTAAAGAGTCTAGGTGGTTCCAAACCAGAGTCTTCTGTTATGGGCGGTAGTGTAGAATTGATCCACAGTTCATGTTGCTCTGGTTTTACATCAGCATAATTAAAAGTAGGATCTGGATTAAAATTCTCCTTTAGACAGATTTGTCTGTTTACAAGATGTTCTCATGTAGGGCTTGATCCTTTCAGCATCCCCCACTAGGAGCTCTGAGCCAAGTGATCTAAAAAAGCCTCTCTGACAAGCCATTTCCCCCCTTCCTGCTCACCTTCAAACAGGCTCTTTAAAGCCTTTAAAGTTTTTAGAATTGCGAGGTAATGTTTGGTACCTGAGCCACTCTGTGCTCAATGCCTCCCTTCCAAGTCATCCCCACCTGCAGCTGTCCTGCTCCCCTGCAAGCCTGCTCAGCTTGAAATTCTCTTTGGGAGGTGGCCCTATCTGCCAAGCTAGAAAGTACAGTGCTGCTTACTGAAGTGGGAGGTTGTGTGCTGTTGTAATGCCTTTGGCCTATCCTCATTTCTTAGTCAGTTTAAGACTATAAGTGAATTAAATGTACAAATCCTGTAGTGTCCTTTTAATCTGTATCTTTTTATAAGAATATACTGTAATACTAAAAAAAAAAAAAAAAAATAAGAGAAAAAAAAAAATAAAGATCTATTGCCCCCACTATGTCTCCATGCATTTCTTTGTAGTCACATTTTCTGTGCATTTTGCCGCAAAGTCCAATAGGCAAGTCAGGATTTGGGTGCAGTTTTTTTATTAAGCTCTGGATTTTTGTTCAAGAGTGTGCAGCTCTTTAGGTGACACCATCACTGCAGAGCTGCTGAGAAATTCCACAGGTTGTTCTGAGGAAACAAGCAACTGCATGGAACACAAGCACATTCCCCACACTGTGCAAGAGTGAAGAGCTGATCACAGAGCCAGCAGGTTACCATATGCAAGGGTTTTCTTCAAAAACTCTCACTTGTCCTCTTTCAGAACTACATACTGTACACAGAAGTTCACTTAAGAAAAAAGGAAAAAGTCAGATGGTCCTGATATCTAGGAGTTCATAATCCAGACATAGACATGGCTATTCCAAGTGAGGAAGGGAGTGCAGGGAAGCAGCACTGACCCTGAGCTCACATAGCTGAGCAACATCCCGACAGCAAGACCATCGACTCAGAGGAGCAGTGGGCAAGAGAGCATTCCTGTCAAGGAAGGAGTTAAATAAGGCCAGCTGAAAAGAAAGCAGGAAAGCAAACATCAGGAGTGAAGACTTCAGAAAAGCAGGGTGGGGAGTCAGGAGAGAAGTTAGACACAGAACAGCCAGGTGAGCAAGATGCACACAAGGGTTAGGGCTAATTTGTGGCTGAATTGAAGGGTATACTGAAGAATTCCTTGGAGTTCAGGGGCAGAACCTTGACCTCATTATACAGGCAATGTGTTCAGCTGTTTCATTCATACACAGATCTCCCCATTAACTGTTAATGGAAAAAGCCTGCTGACAAAATCATCCTTAAGACACAAAATTTCATTCTTATCTTCAACACATCAAAGGGCAATGCTTTCACCTTGAGCTACTGAGAAGATCATGCCTAGTTTCCAGTGGGAGGCTTGCTGGTTATATAGCACATTCCTGCAGCACTAAAGTTCCCAGGGACCCCAGACAAAGCCCCCAGTTGTTGACTCTGTCTCTCAGGTGGGAAGAACTGTAGAAATGAACAAAAGTAATTGGGTTGTAATTGCTTGCACAGGCTGAAGATCAACAGGCAGCAAATGGGAGTCTGAGTGCTCTGTGGGAAGGTTCTTGGTCATTAGAAAGGCTTCATAGTCATTAGAAAGGCTTTCAATTTATCTGTTTTGATCTATTTTGTTCATAAATCCTTGCTAAAATTCAGACTTTTAGGTTCTTGCTGTAAAGATACAAGGGCAGAGGCAAAGGGATGTTTCTGAAATATCTGCATCATATGAGTGGTAGAGGCAGGATGAAAACGCTGGCACCTCCCTGAGTTTTCTACCCTGGCAGCTGGGGTTTGGTAGAGGAAGTCAAACAATTGCTTTTGCTCTTACTAGGAGTGAAACCCAGTGGCATTTGAATTATGTGCTTTGAACAAGATACACATCCTGCCTGGGTTGTAAGACTTTTCTTTAATATTTTGTTTGGGGTTGGAGCACACAATGAGGAGCTGGTGTTCTGCCCTTCAGCACTGATCCATCACAAAAGCCTTCTTCTGTCTTCCTGGTTGACACCTTTCCCATGATTATGAGCCTCTCTGTCCTTGTCATTGCTGCACAGAGCAAGGTAAATGCATGGCCTTTTCTGAGAAAAACTAGGGTTAGGGTTTAGCTGCCCTGAATGACTGAGAGTGAAAAGGAGTGTAAGGGGAGCTCTGCTTTTGCTGGGAAGGGTTGAGTCTATCATTTATCAGTTTTCTCTTTCTTTAACTTTTCGTTTCTGCATAAACAGAAGCTAAATCTCTGCCATTTCTGGGAGAAATCTGCTTGGCCCTAGATATGTACCACTAGGAAATAAAATAATTAAAGTTTGGGGTTTTTCCCCTCCCCCTCAAAGACCAAGAGTTTTGGTGTTCAACATTATTTGATAGATTTTGTTTGTTTGATGTTCCTGTACTTAATGGGCTTGTTGCTGTTTTCTGAGGCATAGTTTCTATTTATCTCTACTTTGCTTAGGTTCACCAGGAGGCAAGGTCCTTTTTTTCCCTTTTTGTCTTCCCCTCCCCCATTTTGCTGTTTTTTCATCTCTTTTGCCTTCTTTCCCCTCCCCTTTGCCTTTTTTTTTTTTTTTTTTTTTTTTTTTTTTGCCATTTTTCCTCTAATTCTCCCCAGCCTAGACTCAACAGTGAGGTGGAGGCTTGCCTTGAGTAAGCTGCTGCATCTTTCCTACCATGTGACAGCACTGAACCCCACGCTTCCAGATGGGTCTGAAATGCTGTGAATAGTTTAATATGGGAATCCAAGAGTTGTTCTTTGCCCACCTTGTTTTAGATGTGGGGCACAATTGTGTTGAGCCAATTTCTTGAGTGCTCATGGAAAGAGAACACAATTCTAATTACACTCATTTTAAAAAATAACCAGAAAATGGGAGGGGGAAAGATTAACTCAGTTGGTCAGAATATGGTGCTAAAACCACCAAGATTGTGGGTTCAATCTCTCTATAGGCCATTCACATAGTAGTTGGACTTTATGATTCTTGTGGGTGCCTTCCAACTCAGAACAGTCTGTGATTCTATGATCTGGGAAAAAACTTTCATAATTTATGGCTGTGAGATGCAGAAAAGGCCTTTTGTTTTCCAGAAGTGTCTATGATCAGTAGTGTTTGGGTCTGTCATGTTATCGCAAGACCTTTGCGATATTCTCCCTTCATGGAAGGGCTATTCAGAACACTTCCAGCAGGGAGTGAGGCAGCTGATAACCAAGGAAAGCACAACAGTCATGCAGAGGCTGCAGGGACCTGGGGATCAGGGCTGCATCAGCCCTGGACACCCCTTCCTATGGGGCAGACAGGGAGGTGGGTGTCCTGGGCACTGTGTGGTGTTGCTGCCTGTCCCTACAGAGAGGAGGGAGGAGGGCTTCTGTCTCTCCATGTTCATTGCAGAGGTTTTAAAAGATTGGTGGGGGGGAGAACTGTGATTGTCTCAAGAAATCTGACAAATACTCATTATTTGTCTCTTTGTAAGTAAAGACTCTCCCTTACCAGTTGGAGTTTTATCATGTCCTAAAATATCACAAGTGTTATAAGAATTGGCCTGGATGCCCCATTAGAGACTACCAAGAATTTACCTATGGTGAATCTGTAGCTCATGCTCTGATTGTCAAACTCTGCCACTGCTTTGCCAGGGGTGGTTCCTGGAAATTCAGTGGTTTGAAAAGGTATCAGAAGGTGCTTTGTGCACAGTGGCTGAGGAATAAAAAAAAAAACTATCAAAAGCTTGTGCATGCTCCATTGCCCACAGAAGGAAGCAAACAAAATAGGAGGGAAATGAACGTCTATCTACTTTAGGCTTAAGTTATTTTTCATTCAGTTGTGGCAATACTGTAAAAGAGCAAAGATGGATTCCCCACCCACACCAAAAAGGTTAGATGGTCCCTGGATTTGAATAGTAAGAAATTGACTCTGCTCTTTGGCCACACCGGAGCTCCGGGCTAGCTCTACGGTGCCACTCCGGCACGGGCAGTTGCCAGGAGTGGGGAACTGCAGGGGAAAGGCGATCCCACTGCAGAACCTTCAGAGCATCGAATCCTGCCGGGCTGTGCCAGATCAGGCGTCATGGGTGGTAAAAGGATGGAGGAGACTCACTCGGCTGTACTTCCCAGGAACAGGTTTATTAGGGAGAGGGGATGAACACAAGGCTCTGGGCTGGGTCAAAACAGCACCAGAGAGAGCCCAGAGCACCTCTGTGCACTGGGTTTTATCTTAGGGGTGGGCACAGTCCAGGGTCCAATCGGAGCTCACAGAGGGAGGGGTAAGGGGAGAAGGTTACAATATACCAACAAGTTTTTAACAAATTCTTAAAAAAATTAAATAAATGAACTACAAGAAATGGTGTTCTACAATATCTCACTGGATATTCCTGTGATTAGGCTCTGCCTGGCTGAGTGCTGTCTGGGTGTGATGGCCTTTGGGAGTGATGGTAACTATCATCTTAGCCCCTGCATAGTCATAAGGTACTTTCACAGGCAGAAATACAAATTAGTCCAGTACTCACAGTAAGGTGTTATGACTGGGCAAGTGTTTTCTTGGGTAACACACATATATTTGTGCTCCTGAACAAGTCTGGACCTGCTCTTACCTTGTAGAAGAAGCTGGATAACCACAAAGTGCAAATTTTTCCCAGGGTTGACGGATGTTTTCTTTCCTTTTGGGCTACCAAGCAGAAAATAACTCTTCAGAGCCATGCCCCATTCTGCTGTAAAGTACCCCTTGCTTCTGCTCCTGATTTCCTTCAATATCTGAGCCCTGTTCACCTCCCTTTTGAGCTCTCACATTCCTTTACCATGACCCTTTGCTTACCCACCTTGGGAGGATCTTCTGCCCTTTCTCTGTGGTATTAAGAGCTACAGGAGCTTAGGCACCTCAGGCTCCAGGTAAAGCCCCTGGGAGAGGACTGACGTGGCACAAACGCTGTTGCTCTGCACTCAGCTTGGCTTCACATGGGTCAGGAGTTGCCAGGCAGATTGGGTGCTGTGTCCTACCTTCCCATTGTCCTCCTTGTGGTGCAGCTGTTGTTCATCGATGGACCAAATGTTAAAGATATTTTGTTGCCCTTTTGGAATGGCAGTAACATCTTCCCTTGCTCTGGTCCCTGAAATGAGAGCTCTGTAAGAGGACAGGAGGCCCTTTCTGCATCTAGAGAGCTGGAGCTGCCTCTGGAGTCACAGGGATGGGCAGCCTTTCACCACAGAAGCATCTCCAGCACTGAGGTAATGTGACATCAGGACCAGAGCTAGCTGTGGCCTTGGGGATGCTGATCTTGTGCCATCTTCTGGGGTGTCAGTGCTGGGATGCATCAGCAAGCATGTCTTGGATTTGTACCAGGGTCAAAACAAGAGATTCCAAAGTGCAGCTTGTCCCATAGCCATGGTCTTGTCCTTGTCAGGCAGCTTCTAGCTCTCCCTCT